AATTCCATTGCATATTGTTACCTTCAAATCAGTTGCTCAGATTACCAGACATAAGCAAGCAAAATTGATCAGGACATAAAAATTTTTAAGCATTAACTGTTCATTTGAATATACCATCAGACATCAGCAATACAGTTATCACAGCTATTCATGTATACATATATTTATTTATTTATTTATTTATATTTTGCCTTCCTTCTTCTTTCTTCTTTCCCTCATCCCAATCATTCCTTCCTTTGAGCAGTTTCTTTCCGTTTCCTATCATCTTTTGTACGTTTTGAGTTTTACCTAGCCTTTCAGATTCCTACAACAAGGAGACAATATGATGTTTACCCATGTGGGTCATATTTCTTTCACTTAGGAGTATGATCTCTAGTTGCATCCATTTACCTACAAAGCCTCGAGTTTTATCTTTTTCATAGCTGAGTTATACTCCATTGTATAAAAATACCATAGCTTTTCTATCCATTCCTCAGTGGATGGGCATCAGTGTTGTTTCCAAGATTTAGCTATAACAAATTGTGCTGCTATAAACATGGGTGCATATATATCACTGTGGTATGATGTCTTTAATTCTTCTGGAAAAATACCCAAAAGGGGAATAGCTGGGTTAAATGGCACTTCCAATCTTAGTTTTCTGAGGAATCTCCAAATTGATCTCCACAGTGGTTTCACCAATCTACACTCCCACCATCAGTGGAGTAGGATTCCTTTTTGCCCACAGCCTCTCCAGCATTTGTCATTGGTTGATTTCTTGATGATAGCCATTCTTTCTGCAGTGAGATGGAATCTCAGTGTTGTTTTAATTTACATTTCTCAAATGACTAATGATGTTGAACATTTTTTCATGTATTTATTCACCATTAGTATCTCTTCATTTGTGAAGTGTGTATTCATCTCAGATGCCCATTTTTGGACTGAGTCCTTGAATTGGGGGGGGTCCTGATATTTTTAATTCTTTTTATGTCCTAGATAGAAGTCCTTTGTCTGAGGGGCAGTTGGCTAAAATTTTTTCCCAGTTCGTGGCTTTTCTTTTTACTTTATTGATGATATCTTTAGATGTGCACAAACTTCTCAACACGATGAGATCCCAGTTGTTGATTCTTTGAAGCATTTCCTGTGCAGTTCGATTTTTATTCATGAGCTCTCTGCCTACCCCAATGTTGTCAACGTGTTTATCTACTTTCCCCTCCAATAAATGTAGTGTTTCTGTCTTAATATTTAGATCTTTGATCCATTTTGACTTTAATTTAGTGCATGGTGAAAGACATGGTTCTAGTTTTAGTCTTCGGCATGTAGAAAGTCAGCACCATTTATTAAAGAGGCTATCTGTCTTCCATTGAACATGTTTAGGCCCTTTGTCAAAGATAAGGTGACTGAATGTGTTTGTAGTTGTATCTGTATCTTTTAATCTGTTCCATTGATCTTCAGGTCTGTTTTTGTGCCAGTACCATGCTGATTTTATCACAGTAGCTTTGTAATATAATTTTAAGTCAGAAATTGTGATTGCTCCTGCCTTTCCTTTGTTTCTCAAGAGTGCTTTTACTATTCTAGGCCTCTTCTGGCTCCAGATGAACTTTAGGAATGTTTTCTCTAGATCTGTGAGGTATACTAATGGTATTTTAATTGGGATTGCATTGAATCTGTACAACAATTTTGGGAGTGTGGACATTTTCACAATGTTCGTTCTTCCTATCCATGAGCAAGGAATATCTTTTCATTTTCTGATATCCTCTTCGATCTCTTTTTTCAGAGCACTATAATTTTCACTGTTTAGATCTTTTACTTCTTTTGTTAGATTGATTCCTAAGTATTTCATCTTTTTAGACGCTATCGAGAAAGGTATGGTATCCCTAGTTTCACTTTCAGTCTGTTTGTTGCTTGTGTATAGGAATACCATTAATTTTTGAGTTTTAACTTTATATGCAGGTATGCTACTGAATTTGGTTATTACATCCATGAGCCTTTTGGTGGAGTTTTTGGGGTCTTCTATGTAGAGTATCAAGTCATCTGCAAATAATGATAATTTCACTTCTTCCTTTCCTGTCCTTATTCCTTTTATTTCTCTCTCTTGTCTAATTACTCTAGCTAATGTTTCCAGAACAGTATTGAATAGGAGTGGTGACAGTGGACATCCTTGTCTTGTTTCTGATTTTAAAGTGAAAGGTTTCAATTTTTGACCATTTAGTATGATGTTAGCTGTTGGTTTATCATAGATGGCTTTGATCAGATTGAGGTAGAGGCCATCTGTTCCTATTTTCTGTAAAGTTTTCATTAGGAGTGAGTGTTGGACTTTATTGAAGGCTTTTTCTACATCGATGGAGATGATCATGTGATTTTTGTCTTTGGCTCTATTAACATGGAGTATTACATTAATTGATTTGCATATATTGAACCATCCCTGCATTCCTGGGATGAATGCCACTTGGTCGTGGTGTATAATCTTCTTGATGATTTGTTGTATTCTGTTTGCTAGTATTTTATTGAAAATTTTTGCATCTATTTTCATTAGGGAGATTGGCCTGTAATTCTCTTTTTTGGCTGGGTCTGTCTCTGGTTTTCGTATCAGGATAATACTTGCCTCCAGGAATGAGTTGGGGAGAATTCCTTCCCTTTCAATTTCATTAAAGAGTTTGAGAAGAATTGGTGTTAAATCTTCCCTAAATTGCTTGTAAAATTCAGCTGTGAATCCATCAGGACCCAGACTTTCCTTCATTGGCAAGTTTTTAATTACATTCTCAATTTCACTGGCTGATATTGAGTTATTTGGGATTTTTATATCATCTTCATTCAGCCTTGGTAATTTATATGTATCTAGAAGTCTGTCTGTTTCCACTGTGTTTTCCATCCTATGAGAGTAAAGATTTTCAAAGTAGGTATTGATGATCTTCTGAATTTCTTCAAGATCTTTAGTGATTTCACCCCTTTCATTCCTAATCGTGTATTTCAATTTTTTCTTTCCTTTTTTAGATAAGGTTGGCTAGAGGTTTATGTACTTTATTTATTCTTTCAGAGAACCAACTCTTTGATTCATTAATAATTTGTATTGGTTTTTTTTAGTCTCTATTCCATCAATTTCTCCTCTGAGTTTTATAATTTCCTGCCTTCTTTGGGCTCTGTGTTTAACTTGCTCTTCTTTTTCTAGGAACTTGAGGTGCAGCATAAGATTTTTTATTTGTGCTTGTTTTGTTTTCCTGAAGTGGGAGTTCACCTCTATAAATTTCCCTCAGAGGACTGCTTTCATTGCATCCCACAGGTTCCTGTAGGTTGTATGTACATTTTCATTTGATTGTAAATAGTGTTTAATCTCTACTCTGATTTCATCTGTGATCCATTGGTTGTTCAGGAGGATGTTATTTAATTTCCAACTGTTTATGGGGTTTTTGTGTTTTCTTTGTCATTAATTTCCAATTTCATTGCACTATGGTCTGATAGTATACATGGGATGATTTCAATTCCTTTGCACTTACTTAAACATGTTCTGTGTACTAGTATGTGGTCTGTTTTAGAGAATGTCCCATGTGCAGCTGAGAAGAATGTGTATTCTGATGCTGTTGGGTAGAACCACTGTAAAAATCTACTAAGTCCATATGTTCACACGTTTGGTTAAGTTCTGTTATTTCTTTCCCAATTTTTTGTCTAGTTGATCTATCTCTTTGTGACAATGGTGTGTTAAAGTCCCCTGCTGTGACTGTGTTGCTACTTATTTCATTTTTCATGTCTGTTAGAATTTGTCTTATATAGATGGGTGCTCCTCTATTTGGTCATAGATGTTTATGATTGTTATCTCTTCCTCTTGAAACTTCCCCCTCACAAGTATGTAATGACCTTCTTTATCTCTTTTGATTGTTCTTGGTTTGAAGTTCACGTTGTCTGCAAACAGAATAGCTACACTTGCTTTTTTCTGAGTTCCTTGTGCATGGAGTATGGCATTCCATCCTTTAATTTTCAGTCTTTGAATTTCCTTTTGAGTTAAATATGTTTCTTGTATACAGCATATAGTTGGATTTTGTTTCCTGATCCACTCTGCTAGTCTGCTTTGTTTGCTGGGTGCATTGAGACCATTTACATGGATGGTTGTAACTGATATGTACTGGCTTATCTTTGTCATGATATTTTCCTGCTGTTGGATCCTCCTTTTTCCCTGCTTAATTGCTTGCTCTGCTTAGTGGTTCCTTTCTTTTGTTGTTGTTGAAGTTGCTGTCTGTTTTATCTCTTTCTAGAATATTTTTAGTACTCTTTGTAGGATTGGTTTGGTGCTCATGAATTTCTTCAGTTGTTCTTTATCATGAAAATATTTTATTTCTCCATTAAATTTGAAAGATAGTTTTGCAGGATACATCAGTCTGGGTTGGAAGTTGTTTTCTTTCAGTACCTGAAATACTTCACTCCAAGCTCTTCTTGCCTTGATGGTTTGTGTTGAGAAGTCTACCGCAATTGTGATAAGCTTTCCTTTATAGGTGATCTGTTTCTTTTCTCTAACAGCTTTTAATATTCTGAGCTTTTGTTGAGTTTCTGGGATCTTGATCACTATATATCTGGATGTAGATTTATTTTGGTTACGATTAACTGGAGTTCTATGTGCTTCACTTATCTGTATGTCTGATTCTTTTTCCATGCCTGGGAAATTTTCTGCTATTATTTCTGCAAGTCGTCTTTTTACGTCATTTGTGTTAACACCTGCTGTTTCATCAATTCCTATTAATCTGACATTGTTTTTCATTGCTCCATCTTGCAGTTGTTGAATTGTTATTTCCTGGTTCCTTGTTTTTAAGAGATCCTGCTTTTTTGTTCATTAGTGGCAATGCTGTCTTCAAGGTCTCAAAGTCTTATCTTCAGCTTAGTTCAAGTGGTTTTGCCAGCTTTCAATGGAATTTTTAAGTTCCTGAATATCTGTTTGCATCTGTTTCATATTTTCTAGTTCTTTTCTATATTATTCACTGAAGGTTTCCATGAGTTGTCTATGCTCTTATATTTTCTTGTCAGTGTCATCTTTGAATATGCTGAACATTTCTTTCATTATTGTTCCCATTTCCTTTTTCACCTGAGACATTATTTCTAATCTGATGTCTTCCGTGGCCTGATGAAGTTGTTTCTTTACTTTAGTTGCTATCATTTCAGAAATTTCAGGTGTATGACTTCCAGGCTCTTCTGTGTTGATGTCTCCTGGACTTGTTTTGGGTGGTGTAGAGGTCTAGGATTGCATTTTGCTCCTTCGTTTTGTCATTTTTGAAGATCCAGAGGTTCCCTAGAGTGCAGCCTCATTCTCCTGATTGTGTGTGAGCGGCAGGGCAAGAGTCTGAAGATCCCCAGTGCTCAGTGCAGCTCCTGTGCTGGTGAGTGCTGGCCAGGTGGGGTCCTAGATGCTCCCAAACTTTCTTACATTCAGCTGGCTCCCAGGTTTTTGTGAGAAGGGCAAGGGAGGCTTGCCAGAGTTCCTGAGACTCTCTGTGGTTTACCCACCTTCCACAAGAGTAGGGAAGATTCAGGTTGCATTCACTGAGGCTTCAGATATTGCCCAGGGCAGAGCCTCCTTCCCACACTGGAAGGGGAGGGGTGAGGGTGGACTCCCTAAGGCCACTGACACTGTCCAGGTTTCAGCTGAGCTCCCAGAGGGGGTGCAAGTTGTTCTCGCAGTGACCACCAAGGGCCCAGAAGTTGACCAGAGCTCCACGTGCCTCACACCTAGTGAGGGAGGCAACAGAGTGGCTCACCGGGATTCCTAAAGGTGTCTGGCGTTCAGCCTAGCCTGCCCCGCCCAACATACTATAGGTGTGGCAAGTAGCCACCGAGGCCCCTGAGGGTGCCTGAGGTCCTGCCTGCCTTGCACACTGGTCAGGGTGGCACCACCACGACTCACCGGGCTTCCTGAAGATATCCAGGATTCAGCCCATTTCCGGCAGACACCTACCATGCTTATTGCATCACAAATGACAGTAGCCAAGATATGGAACCAACTTAACTGTCCATCAAAAGTTGGAATAAAGAAAATGTGACATGTGCACACACAAATAGTATTCACAAAAACAGAAGAAAATTCTGTCATTTGTAACAACACGGATGAACTTAACGGATGTTGTATTAAGTAAAATAACACAGGCACAGCCATATGTTATTCATGTGGAGTATAAAAAAAAATGATCTTATAGAACTAGAAAGTGGAACTGTGGTTACAAGAAGCTGGGCTCCTGGGGGCAGGGACTATTCAGTAGATGTTGATGTTGGTAAAAGGATATAAAATCAGAGATCATTGGAATATGTTTAGGAGATTATATTGTTCAGCAGGGTTAACAAAAATATATAGTATTTTTGAGGAATGCTAGGAGAGTGGATGTTAATTGTTTTTAACCACCAAATTGATAACTATGTGAGGTGATATATATAAAACCATTCCACAATATATGTGCTTCAAACCACTATATTACACATGATGAATACATACAATTTTATGTATTCAATTAAAATAATTTAGAAAAAGTGTTTTTAAAATTATATAAGTTTTTAGTGTATATGTTTAAAATTATTCTTGTCTACAATAAATTTTAAATTTAATTATTTTGAAGCAGGCTTCTCCCAATATATCATGTGAGTCTTTATTGAATATTGATTGTCCCAAAGTGAAATTCATGGTTTACCTGGTTTCTTAAAAAATCAATTGATTTGGCTCCCTTGGTATATGTTGCCCATTTTTGCTTTTTTTGCTTTGCCCATGGCATTTGTCTTTCATCTTTCCTTCTAATTCTATCCATGTTCAGGGTTTAACTTGCTTATATCCTCCTTATTACCTCCTAAACATTTATTATATTTTTCTGTACCTCCATTTAGCATGTGGAATAGAATTAATATAGTTATTATATGGGAACTATCATGTGTTCCATGTTACTTAACAGCCTTTTGTATATATCTTGTTATTTAGTAGAAATAACTGTTGTTTAGTGACTGTTTTCTGTCATATACTTATGGCACATAATTTAAACATTTTGTTATTACTCTATAAGTTCATTGATTATTATAGATCCTAATTATATTGCTTCCCTTGTAAGTGTCTTATAAGGTTCCTTTTAGGTCATTTAACATGGTTGGAAAACTTAATAGGTTACTTAGATTTTTTTTCCTGTGCCCTTTAGCAGCAGCAACCAAAGCAGTTTGTCTCTTAACATTGCAAAGTTCTCTAATATGCTCCATCATAAGTCACATACCCTGGATCTAAGTCAAATTTTGTTACTTCTTAGATATATAGTTTTGATCAAATTAACTCTCTGAGTCTGAATTTTTTAATTGGAAAATAGCAGTAGTACCTTCTTTTTTAGTTATTTGAAGGATTTAGAGAATGCAGAGTAACATGGTGACCTGCACATGGTGGGTATTTAATAAGATCATAATCTTCTCATTCAGAAACACATTGCTTTATACTTCTCATATGACCTTCCTGTCTCCTTTTTTGCTTATCTAGTTTTCACATTCATATCAATGCATTACTTTAGCATTGAGCTACAACTTCATTTTCACTACTTTTAAATTTATTTTCTATTTTTAATAATAGCAGCTGCTTCTTCAATGACTAGTCAAGTGAATGAAATGTTGAAAATATTTGAAAAACAGGCAAATGAGTTGGAGAGGTGAGTTTTTAAAACAACTTTTTCTAATTAAAAAATTAAATACATGTTTACAGTGGAAATATTACATCCACAAACAAAATAAGGCTTCTGTCAAAAATTTAGAGTTCTTACATTGATTTTTATCATTATACATAAAATTAAATATAAAATTATGAAAATATAGAGTGTAAAATGAAATATGAACTATTTGCTATGGAATAACAGTGTGTTAGTTTCTCAAAACATAGAAATAGAAATACTGTATGATCTAGAAATTCCATTTCTGGGTATATTCCCAAAAAAGTTCAAAGCAGACCTCAAAGAGATATTTGCACACCCATGCTTATTGTAGCATTATTTGTAACAGCTGAAAGATGGCAGCAACCTGGATGTCCAACAAGAAACTGATGAGCAAAATGTGGTATATTCCACAGCCACAGTGGATTATTACTCAGTTTTAGAGGAAATACTGACACATTACCACAAAATGGTAAAACTTGAAGACATTACAAGTAAAACCAAACAGTCACAAAAAGACAAACCACTGTATGATTTACCTTGCATTAGGTACCTAGAGTAGTCAAATTCATAGAGACGTAAAGTAGAATAGTAATTGCCAGGAGATACCAGGTGAATGAAATTGAGAATTACTGTTTAATGAAAATAGAGCTTCAGATTTACATGATGAAGAGTTTTCACTTGTAAATTCATGTTCTTTTTGAAAGTAAATGTTGATTATTTTTATTTTATAGTTGACAAAAATTCTGTATATTTATGGTATATAATATGACGTTTTCATATACATATACATTGTGGAATGACCAAAGTGAGTTGTATAATATATTCAGCAACTTCTCATTCTAATATTTTTTTGGTGGTGAGAACTTTAAAAATCTACTCACTTCGCAGTTTTAAGGTTTGCACTATGTCATTATTGACTGTGGTTAGCACATTGTGCAATGGATAGATCTCTAGAATTTATTATCACATCTAAATGAAACTTTGTACCTTGTAATCAACAATCCTTCTTCTCATCTTCCCAAATTAATCATCATTTATTTTATTTCCATGAGTTTGTCCTTAACTAGACCTTGACTCAAAAAAAAAAAAAGGAAAGAAAATTCCGTATGTGAGATCATGAAGTGATTGATATTTAATTGACTTTTTGTACTTGGTGTATTTCATTTAAAATAATGTTCATCCATGTAGTCATAAATGACAAAATTTCCTTCTTAAGGCTGAATAATATTTCATTGTCTGCATTACATTTTTATCCATTTATATATTAATGGACACTTAAAAATTCTATTTTTAGGCTTATACCTGAGAGAAATAAAAACCTATATCCACACAAAACTTGGACATGAATATTCACATTAGCATTATTTATAGTAGCCAAAATGGGAAAGTAATTCAAGTGTCTATAAACTTGTGAATTAGTAAATAAAATGTTTTATCCATATACTTAATGTCATCTTGTGATAAAAAAGGAAAATAGTACTAACACAAAGTGCTATCACAATATACAGTGAACATTTACATTTTTTAAAATGCATATATTAAAAGACACATCACCATTAATACCCCTCAAGATACTCCCCTCACTTCAAGTACACTTATCCCACCATTCTTGGCACTTTCTGAAGGTCTGAAAGTCCTCGTTTTTGGGTCCCATTAGTTGCTTTGATGTCCTGAATCAGTTCAAAACATTTACCTTTCATGGTCTGTTTGACTTTGGGAAAGAGCCAAAAGCTGCATTGTGCCAAGTGAGGTGAATAAGGTGGATGAGCACCCCACAATGTTTTTATTACCCTGTCTTTCTTTTGGATGGTTCTGGACAACAGCATTCACCATATTTTTTTTTACAAAGAGACTTCCAGAACTGCTTAGGAAAGTGGCAAGAATGAAGAGGTATTTTCAGAACTGAGGAGGAATATTTCAAAGGTGATTAATGGCAATGTGTCTTTTATTGTACTACATTTTTAAAAATTTAAATACTCATTTCATAGATGCTATAATGGGGATTTGCCTGAAAATATACTAAGTATAAGAAGTCAATCTCTAAAGATCACATATTGTATGATTCTATTGCTATGCACTATCCAGGACAGGCAAATTTACTAAGACAAAATCGATCACTATCTTATTGAGCTGGGCCAGTGTAAGGAAGAGTGGAAAATGACTTCTGATGGGTATTGGATTCCTTTTGGTTAACTAAAATGTTCTGAATTAGATAGTAGTACTCTTTGCTCAAGCTGGTGAATATTAAAATCCACTTAATTGTCCCCTTTAAAAGTGAATTTTGTAGCATATTACTTATATCTTAATAAATATATTATAAACTTTTATTTAACAAGCAACTCATTTGACCAAAAATATAGTTTGTCTCTATTATGGAATAGGGTCAGGGAACTGTCCCATGCATCAATTTGGCCCAAGGCCTTTTTCTTAATGGAAGTTTTGTGGGAACACAGCCTCAGTCATCATTTATCTGTCATCTATATCTGCTTTTGCGTGTTGTGTAGTAGTGACAGAGACCATCAGGCCTGCAGAATCTAAAATGTTTACTATTTGGACTTTCGCCATCTCCTGCTATGGAATAAAAGTAGCTTTTAAAAGGAATAAGAAAGCCATGTGTGGTGGCACATGCCTGTAATCCCAGCACTCGAGTGGCTGAGGCAGGAGGATCGCTGCAAATTTGAGACCAGACTGGACTACAAAGGCCAGCCTAAACTGCATAGTGAGACCCTGTCTCAAAAAGACAAAAACAAATAAATAAATAAAAAGTATCTTTGTTTACTTGTAAAAATAGATCCTAAACATCATATTAAGTGCAAAACATAAGTTGAAGCAATATACAGATGCCATTTGTATGGAAAAGGAAAAATCAGAAATTGAACACACCAATCAAAATTATAGAATTGAGTAGATAGATGTAATATTATAGAAATGCATAGAACAGGGGCTGGGGATTTAGCTCAGCGGCAAAGCGCCTGCCTGGCAAGCACAAGGTCATGAGTTCGGTTCCTAGTACCGGAGAAAAACCAAAAAAAAAAAAAAGATTTCTGCAGAAATGCATAGAACATAATCTGAAGAAATAATAGCAATCAGATAATATTTCTGGGGAGATAGCACTGGGGCTTTAGAATAGTAGTCAAAATGTACTCTAAACTTTAGTATTTGAAACTCTTTACAAAGAATATATATAAGTGTGTGGTGTAAATAACAAAATAAACATAAAGTTGCAATACATTTTTGGTCTGTTTTTCAGAGCTAAGAATGATCAAAGTTTGTTAGAGGCTGTAAGTATAGCACTCTCAATTTGAAATTGCACTTTGTTATCTTTTAGTAGACTGGAAATTTCCAGTACACAGAATCCTAAATAGATATCTATTGTCTATTCAGTTTATCCAAGAGATTTCAATGAATATGTGAGCTGGGAAGCTTTGTACATTCTTTTCATTTCACTAGACTTTATCAGACCTCAGGAGTACTTCTCAAATACTAATCTCTAATACCCTACAGTTCTCTGAATAGTTGCACTCATTACAAATTCTAGTTTCTTGACCTCTGTCAGCCCCAATAATAGTTTTATTATAATGATTATTTTCATGAATTAATGAAGATTTACTTTAATAATTAACCATCCAAATAACCTTTGTATATTGAGATGTTTGCTGCTCATTATTACTAAACTTACAATATTTGCTTTTAGAAATGCAAACAAATGCAAAGTGATTTTGAATCATTATTAGAGGAGAAATCAGTGATGGAAAATGAATTACAAAAGTTGAAGGATACAGAGGTTGGTAAAATTTTAGTGTCTGAAAATGGCATATAATATTTAACAAAGCATATTATTTTAGTATAGGAATCAAATTATATTTAAATGTTTCATGTTGTCAATATTACTAACTTATAGCTGCAATACTTTAAAAAATAACATAGTTATCTTCCAATTTACTGTTTTAGCTATCAAAACCAAAATGATGCTATGAAAACAATTTAAATATTGTGAAAGACATTTCTAAGCCAGATATTTAACTTTATTAAATTATCACTAAATTAGATTTTTCAAATATCTTTTAACTGTATTTTTATAGTACAGTATTCTCTGGTATTAAGGAATGTATATGTCCAGTTCACTATACTCAGTAAAATGAATAGAAATTCCAAGATTAAAGCAAGATTTCTTTCTTGTATTTTCTCTTCTTGACATTTTCAGTTTATAAATTTATAGACAACAAAGACAAACAGAAGTGAATTTTTATTAGCCTCTCAGAAACAAGATATATGCCTGAAGGGAAATACATTTGAACCTAATAATTCAAATTGCTTGATATTTCGTCCTTAGTAGAAGAGGAAGGCGAAATAGTACCAGATGTGCAGTTTAATCAATTGGAAAAGCAGTAATTCTACATGGATATTAAATATAAGAGGAGGACTGTTAAATATGTTCAATTTAAGAATAGTTTCCTTTAAGTGTCATTCAGAATAGGAATAGAAATCAGCACATAAAAAGCATAAATTGACATATAGAAGGTTCGAGTAGCCTGGCTAAGTGTGAGAATTTTGCAACATTGTAATCCTACACTATTAGAGCCATTTTGAAAACACTTGGAGCCTATTAGATGACTTGAAGTTGTAGCAGTTACTGTTTTTCCCTTTTCTGTATTATTTCTGTGGGATTTTTCTCCTCTAATTTTGCTACAGAGAAGAGTGACTTTTTTTCTTGGCGTTCATTCATTATTTGGTTCAGGTGACATCATAGTTTCCTTGTTCAATCCTGAGAAACTCTGGTGTTCATTTGGTAGGTTATACTGTGCTATTGATTCCGTCTCAGGCCTACATATCATTCTTCTTTCACTCTTCACTGAACCAGTGATATTCTGAAATACATTAAAGCTCAGTGGCCATGTTTCTAATTCTCTTCATATGTGAAACATATTCAGTGATGGCTTTTTCTGTCATTGGAAATTAGTTGTAGCACTTCTCATAACTGTGTGTAAATGTGGAGAAGAACAGAAGGACAATTTCTGCATAGGTAATAGCAATGTTATATCCATACAAAGGTGGTGATTGGGAAATATGGGAGGTAACTTGTTTTCAGGGAAAATCCAACATGGGAATTGGTGAATAGCATGGTGAGAAGAGACTAACAGTTATAGCATATGTCAAATGTACAATTTCTAATAATTAAGTTACCATTTTCTTCCAAAGTTGGGCTCTTTTTCTTAATTTTCTCAATAATTTTATTCTTATAGACAGCAAAGGTTAATAATCAAAAGCCACATTTGACTCCTTTGGAATTTTTTCTTATTTCCTGTGGTTAGTCTTTCTGTCTATCTGTGCTGTGCATGGGCCTGTGATACTGTTATCAAGTGAGAGTTTTCTTCTTACTAATTTGTGGTTTTTAAAAATATTTCTTTAGATTTTTCTAGCTCAACTGAAAACCATATTCACATTTTTAATTGTGTATTACAGCATCTTTCTGCTTCCAGGTTCCAAAATCTGTATTTTCTATTGGCTGTTTGATTAGTATATTGCTTGCTTTATGGTATATTGTCTTTGTTTTGAACTTTGTTATGGTTTGTGTCTGGATGTCCTCCCAAAGCCTCAAGCAGTCATGGGGAGGGCTTCCAGAGTTTATGATTGATTCTTGGGTGTGATTATTACAGCCTCCCTGGGGCGAGTAGTTTTCATATAATGTAAGGGAGGGAAAGAGACTGCTTTCCACCGCTCCTCCCCTTGTGCTGTCATTGTTTTTGCTGTTTTCCGCTGCCATGAACTGCTGCTCTCTGCCATGTGCTGTTCTGCCTTGGAACCAGCTGAGTGTGCACTGAAATCTCCACAAACTGTAAGCTAAAGAAATCTTTCCTTCCTTAATTCTGGGCGTCAAGACAAACTTATTGTATTCAAGCTTCAAATGATATTAAATTACTTCATGTTTAAGAAACAATACAATTTGTTCTTTCTTTGCATTTAGGCTATTGTTTTCATACATTTTACTATCTATGATATAAATCCCCAAGTGCACTTTTATTATGATTGCTGCAAATTGCCAGCTTTTAAATAAGAAAGACAGTCCTTACAATTATGCTTGTAGTTACTGGGTTTTTTGTTTGTTTTTTTTTTTTTTTTTTTTTTTTTTGGTTTTTCTCCGGTACTGGGAACCGAACTCACGACCTTGCGCTTGCCAGGCAGGCGCTTTTGCAGCTGAGCTAAATCCCCAGCCCCATGCTTGTAGTTACTGTTGGTAAAGGCAGTCTCGGGCATGTGTAGCCTTTGGCCTCCTTGCTTGTCCATATCAGAATGGGCCTCCTTGGGCCTGGCCTCAGCAAGGGAAGAAAGAGGTCAGTCAGTTTCCACGCAGTTTATTCTGGGTGCATTACTCAATATGGGAAAACCTTTCCACTTCGAACCCAGTAAAGTGTTCCTTTGTCTTGTTTAAGCATAGTGTCAATGACCTTCAGGACATAAATACCTACCTTTGGTATTTCATACTCTTCAGAGGAAGATTCTTGCCCTTGCCTTCTGTGGCAGGAGAGGGGTACCAGAGCCAAATGCTCTGTCTCAGCGTGGGGAGTTGAAGGGGGAAAGAGGTAGTCAACTAGTCTAGGGGCACTGACACACTACTGAAGGTAATCTCTCTGGGGAGAAAGCTTTGTTCCCTGTAATGATTGCTGTGTCTTAATGATTCCCAGAGGGTGGCGTACCAAGGGCAATTTCTCTAGACCTCTTATTTCCCAATTTCACTATAGACTCAACTAAAAATAAATTACACCATAAGCGTATCTATTTTCCTGCAGTTAATGTAACTTATTTTATTAATGGAAGGTACTACAAAGGCCTAGATGATATTATAACACCATAAACACATGGTTTGATCCTGACCTTTTTGTTAATTAGTGGTAAAATTACCCACACAAGCATCTATCCCAATGAGAATGCCCTCTCAGTGATCAGGAGGAGCAGATATGAAGCACACTTTGTAGTAGCTCACAAAGTCTTGCTCAACTACACCCCCATGGGAAACAGCAGTGATAAAAACTAATATATAAAAGCTCGACTAAGTTGTACTCTTAACTATGGTTGGTAAATTTCATGCTAGTACAGTGGTCATATGATTAATCCAAATAAATAAATTGCATGAAGTGTTCTGAGGAATTTTCTTAAAAAGTTAAATTTTAACTAAATTGCAAGCAAATATAGATAAAATAAATACAAATAGGGAAGTAATTTTAAAATATCTGAATACAAAATAGCTAAGACCTAACCTGCTACTAGATATCCCACTACCCTTAAACAAAAATCATTTTACAATAAAATTATTTGCTGGAGTACTACTAGCAATAGCTTGAAACTCAAAGGACTTTGCAGTGCTTTATGTCTCCCTAGAGGAGCCTCTTCTGTGATCAATAAACTCTAATAAATGTTACCATCTTTTGCCTACTCAATCCATGCACTGCTATCTTCAGCAAACCCTAGTAAGTATTAACATAAGCATAAAGATCAATATAAAACATTAGAGATGTAGCCTATGAGGTGGAAATAAGTGGGCTACATATTTCAGCTCAAGAACATTACCAAAAGAAACTGTCAATGAGCCCTTGGTTGATCAGCTTTGTATGTCTCTATCTGTTTTCATGAGAAACCACTTTGAAAATATCAATATGTAATACAACAAGCATTGTTAATTCCCTACCACTCTCTTTGTAACTCTGTACTGTCTGTACTGATCCTTTGCTATTTTGTAAAATGTTGTCTGTCTGTTAGTATTTTTCACCTTTTATTTTTAAAATAAAAAAAAGAACATTGCCTACAAAAATTTATGAGATTATAAGGTCAAAGGAGGATTTAGTAGTAAATTAAGAATAAAGAGCTTAATTGAATAGGGCCATGATGCCTGATATCCCTCTCAGATATTTTCAAACTAAAATATATAATCCACTCAAACATAATATAGGAGGAGGTAAGTTAAAAGAAGGTAAACAAGCTGGAGAGTGTGCTTGGCAAACTAACCAAAATGTAGCTTAATCTAAAGTACCAGCTGGCACCTGGAAGATTTCATATCACCTGGTCCCTTTGAACCAATTCTAGCCAAAGATTCAGCTAACTTAACATCACCCTGATAAATCAAAACATTTACTTGCAAGTAAAATTATAGGAGATAGGAATTTTTTAAGGTACAAATAGTAATGGTAGTCTTTTGATAGACTTAAAAGTATAAATAAGCAAAGATTGATTTACCTTTTATATGACAGATTAACCAGAAATTACAAAGAGAATTTAATTTAAAACCCGCAATCCAGAGAAACTGTTCAGGAGCAGCTCTAAGAGCAGAGATGACAAGCCACCTGCCCCTGATGATAGCTGGCTATCCAGATAAGAATCAAATTCCTAATGTAAATTGAATTATTAGTCCACAGAGAGATAGCTTTATAGAAGAAGGAATGGGGGCTGGGGATTTAGCTCAGCGGCAAAAGCGCCTGCCTGGCAAGTGCAAGGTCGTGAGTTCGGTTCCCGGTACCAGAGAAAAACCAAAAAAAAAAAAAGAAGAAGGAAGCAACCTTATGGAGAGAGTAAATTAATTAACTTTCCTAGCCTTAATGTAGCTACAAATTAAGAATACCTTCAAACTTGGGTGTTATGATAACATGATTCCAACTATTTTTATAACCTCCTACAATTAAACTGGATTTATTTATTATCAACCAAACCCAGAAGTGTACCTAAGGAAAAGTTAAAAAGAAAAAGGAACTTGTCACCCAAAAGCTGTGTCTGTTCACAGAAAACATCACCTCT